GGTTTTTTATGAAAAAGAAAAGTTGCTCCGGAAAACTAAAAAAACAACAACAAACTTTATAGAATATTTTTATAACATTTTCTAAGGTTATAATTATTAATACAACGATCGAACACTCAGAAAAAACACTCAGAAAAAATTCCTTCGATCCGGTCGGATTCGAACCGACGTCTTCCTGCATACCGTACCAGACGCTACACCAACTAAGCCACGGAACGAACCAACGGACCTCACGAATTCTTCTATGTGCTTGCGTCGTGTCTTTGTACTTGGTCTTTCAACGACTTTTTAGTCGTAGCGCCATCTATGAGAAATCTATTACAGATTTATCACCCAGTTAGTACCTTTACAGCTACCAGTCCTGGCAAGTGATGTCGCTATTCATGTCGCATGTCACTACGACTAAAAAGTCGTTGAAAGACCAAGTACAAAGACACGACGCAAGCACATAGAAGAATTCGTGAGGTCCGTTGGTTCGTTCCGTGGCTTAGTTGGTATAGCGTCTGGCACGGTATGCAGGAAGACGTCGGTTCGAATCCGACCGGATCGAAGGAATTTTTTCTGAGTGTTTTTTCTGAGTGTTCGATCTTTGTATTAATAATTATAACAAACTAGTGGAGTAATTTCACAAAAAATAATTGAATATCAATTCAATAAAAATTTAATTTTCTAAGGTCTTAAGAATTATCATCCTTGTTTCCTAAATCGATCCCAATCGAGAACTGTGTTGCATCAACAGATGTTCACTTGATGCCAAAATTTAGATACATGTCTGTGGTTGAAACTCAGCTGCCTATAATAAATGCAATATGATCTCAGTGGAGTCTTAATGAAATTCAACGACCCTTTAGTACTTACTTCTTTACCCCCTGTCTCCATGCGGCCAATATGCAACTATTGACAACCAGATCCACTGGTACTATGTCCATAACGTAGCGCTCCTTGCAGAACCCAGAACGGTATGTCCCGCGAGACATTTCCATGATAATACCTGAAAAGAATACACATGTAATACAAGGATTGTAATGTAAATGAAGGACTTGTCTGAGACTTTGAAATTACAATTATTATGAGTAATATATATGGGATAATCTAAAAAAAGGGATAAATAAGGTTTGAAACAGTTTAATTTTGCTCCTCTGTCGTATATCGTCCATCTCCAAACCGAATATAAAACAAAACCAATCGCGCTCGTCTTCTATAATTTCAAATCATCCCTCTCTTATAAGACTTAAATTTGAAGATGTGAAATTTAAATATGACGTACAAGATAGAAAATAATACTTAAAAACCATTGACTTACAATTATATGGACGTCGGGTCCGCGCTAAAAAGTGTCCGAACTTATAGGGTGTTAAAATCGTATACAGAGCGTCATTCACGCTCTAGTCTTCGTTTGTTCGACTGACAGCGAAGCAAGCAAAATTAGACAGTACTGCGGTGACATTACAATTTAAATTCAACGTTTTAGCTTTTTCATATTCCTTTATATGTCACTACGTTTAAATAGGTTGACTTGGGACATTTTTTTCGTGGTTTTTGTATTAGACCCGTCGTCCATTTATTTGTAAGTCAATGTTAAAAACTAAACAAAGAAAGGAATACACACAACTTTACACAATTTACTACAACTAACACTTATTTTTAATATACTATAACTAACTGCCGTGTTACGCTACGCTGTTACCATGCCGGACTGCCACGCAGAGGTCCCAGGTTTGATTCCCGGGCCGGGAGAAATATGTGTATGGCCTACAATTATTTATCTCGTGAGTTTGGGTGTAATTTGTGGTTGTCTATGTGTGTGTCCATGGCATCCGGGTTTTCATAGTCCGGTTTTACGTTGAGTGTGTGCGTTATTATTTTAAATTTACAGACTTAAGGCCTCTGAGAGGCCACGCCACTTGACTTTGCCAAGTTTTATTTAAATCGGTTTAAATTGAGAATTATGTAACCAATCATCGAGTATATAACCAGAAATAGAGACGAAATAAGGGCCATCCATCCCTGGCAACTTATCAGGCCAATTGACCTTATATCACTTTTAAATATCAACTCTCGTTTGCGCTGAAATCACAAATTAGAAAGCTGAAATAGTACAGCGCCAACAACTGACCTGTGTGTACGTCTCCGTATATTTCAAAAATATTCTGTATTTATTGTAATAAAGATAATATCTCTAACAATGGGGGGCTGTTCCATTCGGTAGTGTGTGAAACAATTGACAACCAAGGTCAGTCAGAGCGCAGTTGTCACCCTAATGAATTGATAGAATAGTTTTCAAAGAAATAAATGGCATTTCGTCTCTATTTCTGGTTATATGCTCGATACATCCAATATACATATTGCTGCATACTATACATACACACCCCTTTGTCCCAGCACCCTTACCTTTCAAAACCGCATCACAATAGACAAGGTGGCTGGCAGTACTTCCCAGGACGAACTCTTTGTAAAGAAACTCTACTGCTAGGAATTTCCGTAGCTATCGTACCATATCTAGTTTGTACGTCATACAATTGACATAGAATCCACAAAGCCATGTACAATTTCTTATATTTACATTTCTGAAAACTTGGAGGAATAAACTTAGTAGCAGTAGAGCTCCGTGTGGAAGAGTTCGTCCAGGAAAGTACTGACACTTTACCTATTTCTGCCGCCAAGCAGTAATGTCAGCATTACTGTGTTCCGGTTTTGAACAGTAATGGTGCTGGTGAAAATTTAGGCACATGAGACTTGTTAACTTATGCATCAAAGTGACAGGTGCAGTGGCAGTGCAATTCAGATCGTAGCGATTTAAAACTCTGAGTGGCACTGCAACTGTTACGGACAGGCGTGCGAGCTTACCATCAGGCGCACGATTTGTTCACCCCGTCACTTGATATTAAAGAAAAGGAAATTTTATAAAAACAATATTATACAACTTTACCAGTAACCCCGTAAACGTTGTCAATCCACCCAGGGAATGGTTCCTGCATGGCAGCGGTCACTGTAAAAATAAAAAGATTACATAAATACCCATTACAAGTTATTCAGGAATAGTCGTTATTAAAAAAAATTAGTCTCGCTTTGCTTGAGAACCCGCTTAATACTTATAGCTCACGATCAGCTATTGTGATAAACTTTGAGAGAAGCCTATGTTCAGTAGTGGACGTTTTTCGGCTGAAGTTATAATGAGGATTACCCGGTTTTTTTAATGACGGCGAAAAAAGTCCTATTGCATTAAGTTTTTTATTTTTTATTAGTTAATTGGCTTAATTTTTTATTAGCCAGTCGTCAAAATCATTACAAATGGGACGTACCTAGTTATGCAAAACGGATATTAGATCAGCAAAATCCAATATATAAACATAAAAAAATATCTCTGGAGATATATAATTACAGAACAATATAAAATTTCAAAATAAAACAAGAATAAGAAATACTATTAAACTCCCAAATCTCCAATGTGGAATGGATCCTATTTATTTAAGTACGTCCAATTATAAACCGATAACATTACAAAAATTTAAAAAGGTTTTCAATTTGTGGACTCGGTGTTGCCATTTAACCGCTCACGCGATGCGCTCCTCCTACCGCAAAATGGCGGCTATTTGGTTTCGCAAAATAGAAAAGGATTCAGTTTAAATACAAGTTTTTATAAATAAAAATTATTATTCTGCATTGCTAAATAAATACCCTCCGTACTACCAACAAAAACATCTCAAATGTAATATAATGCAGTAATACACCGCAAATCCTGCACTTAAAAAGCACTAATGAAATTTTTGGTGTACTTGGATAAATATGATAATATTCCGTTTGAGTGGTTCTAACGTTTACCATGAAATTACTCCTTAAAGTATAGTTTATAAACATTTATATTCAGGGTAAACTTAAAAAACGCTACTTACGGTATGTTTTTAATAAATAAACACCGAAATCACCAGCCCAAACAATAACACACACGATTGTCGTGACGTATTTTTGAAGTTGTTTATTTTTTTAAATGACAGACCCAGGCATTAAAAACTTTATGGTTTGGTAGAGTAGTTACCGAAATAGCAATTAATATGAGTACTTTTACCTGTTATAACTTCGATATGCGATAAATCGGTATTAAATCATCACCGGCACCTCTAGGTGTGGTATGCGCCTACGGCTGCATGTATCGCGTTAGCGGATAAATGACAGTTTCGACATTTATCTGTCATACTTTTGACAGTATTGCCGCGTAACCAACGGTTGCGAGCACAAGCCTTGTAAAATTGATGACCTTCAAGATCGACTGGCTTGCACACTTGTTTTCATGGGGTCGCCATCTCTGAGGTCCAGGGTGCGACCCAACAGGGCCAATATAGAAAATCTTTTCTATATTGTGTCGAGTGTGGTTGTTTGTGGTACCGTCATTGTTTCCGATTTCCATAACACAAATGCTTTAGTTACTTACTTTGGGATCAGAGAAATGTGATGTTGTTTAATATTTATATATTTTTTACAACATCGGGACGTACCTGATGGTAACGCGCCTGTCCATAACAGTTACAGTGTTACTCAGAGCTTTAAATTGCAAAGATCTCAGGGGCACTACCACTGAGCCCGTCACCTTGAGACATAAGTTCACAAGTCCGATGTGCCTGTAATTTCACCAGCACCCTTACCATTCAAAACCGGAATACAGTAATGCTGACATAACTGCTTGGCAGCAGAAATAGGTAAGGTGGCAGTATTTTCCTGTACGAACTTTTTCACAACAAGCTCTACTGTGACTTAGTACTTAATTCACGCATTGCATGCACACTTAATAGCGCCTATTCACTCTCGCCTTGAAAAAGCCCACTTATAGTTGAATATAGTCTCGTATATTCAAAGATTATGTATTTACACGTAACGCAGTAAGTACTCGGAGCTTTTGAGAGCTTCACCCGGATTCGAACCTGTGACCTTAAAAAATTGTACACATCCGGTTTTCATTGCACAATTCGCACATAATGTACAAATGATGTCGTAACTCAAAAATGATGGAATTGAAAAAACAGTATATCTCCGGAACGGACGAAGAGGGGTTGGTGGTTGGCGATTGGAAGGCGTCATATATATAGTGACGGGACGAACAAGTCGTGTACCTTTCTTTCTTTTTTTTTATAAATGAAATAAGTGCGCATTTGACCTCCATCTCGCCTGATGGAAAGTGACGATGAGGTCAAGGATGTAGCATGCACACCTAAATAATGCCTATTCACTCTCGCCTTGAAAGGGTCCAAGTTATAGCGTCCGGGGAACAAGTCTGCAGGCAGGGAATTCCGCTCTAGACGCTCGCCATACAAATGTGGAAGCGGAACGCTTCGTGCGAATCCGGGGAATATCCACAACATACGGGTGGAACCCCAGCCCACGTCTAGTCCCCCGATGATGGAAAGGGGAAGGCGGAATCAAATTATGCAATTCCACCGCACATTGTCCGTGATATATCCTGTAGAATACCGGTAAGCTGGCAACTCTACGGCGGTGTTCAAGGCTCTGCAGCTTCGCCCATACTAGTTCCGAGTCACCTATAAGCCTCTTAGCACGCTTGTCTATTGAATCCAAGGTGGCTTTTTGGTATTTAGCAGAGCCATCCCATAAGGGGCAGCAGTACTCCATACACAACCGGACTTGTGCTTGGTACAGTTGAAGCAACTGTCTGATGGTAAGCTACACGCCTGTCCATGACAGTTGCAGTGCCATTCACCTCTTTAAATCGCAAATGCACTACCACTGCGCCCGTGACACTGAGACATAAGTTGATATGTCCCATGTGCCTGTAATTTCACCAGAGTTAATTCAAAATGTAGGTGCCTATATATTGGGGTGGACGATGTAACATGTTGTGTTTCCCGTACACCTGGCGCAGCCTGGGCAAGTCCGATTGACAAATCCTTTAACTACGATAGCAACCGTTATTATATGTATGCCATAGATGGATAGAAATATGACATTTATTATTTCCGAACCTAATCTATTATTACAGGTTTTCCACCCAATGCAATAGACCAGCAAAATTACTACATGTAACATATCGATATCTTTGTAAATTCACTTAGAGAATGGAACAGAACGATCCTATTCGATATTTCGTTCAGGGTGTGCAATGTGCGCGTTAGCGGACATTCCGTCATGAGATTGGTCCTTCCACGCGACACCGCTAGTAGCGCCGATGTCGCACCACGTACCTATCAGGAACACATAAACCTAATACCCCTAATAGTATCGGATATACATGTATACACAAAACCGCAGTCCTTGAAGACAAAGCAGTGCGTATTGCCAGTGATGACCCACGGCTCTGAGACGTGGTCACTTACTGAGGATATCCGTAGAAGAACGAAAGTCACTGACATAGCTCAAATGACTAGCAAGTTGAAGTGGCAGTGGACAGGGCACATAGCTCGCAGGACTGACGACTGTTGGGGCAGAAAGGTTCTCGAATCGAGACCACGAGCCGGAAGGCGTTCAGTGGGACGGCCGTCTACTAAATGGACTGATGACCTGGTAAGGGCGGCGGGAAACCGATGGATCCACGTCGCGTCTGATCGGCTAGTCTGAAAATCTTTGGGGGGTCCTATATTCAGCAGCAGAAACATAATAAAACAAACAATATTACAAAAAGGAAGGAAATGAAATAAATATACATAGTAATCAACATAAATATATATAGTAATCAACTTATATTATCTACTAATGAATGAATAGCAAGTTGTGAATGTAGCAGCAATCCAAACAGATCACAGCTCAGTGCTGGTGTTGCCCAAACGCAAAGCACTGATTTTCAGATAATCATAAAGAAGAAGAAGAATAATCCCAAAAGAACCTCAAATGACATGGAGGGCAGTATTAACAGCTGCACTAGCAGTATGAAATGTGATATTGTCGCCAACTACATTATTCACCTGTTTCGGAAGGAAAACCTCCAACTCGTATCGAACCAAGTTCTCTATAATAACGATGTACAACAAGGACGTAATATAATAACGAACAAATCGATAAAACCAATTAAGTATCATCAAACGTCGTACGGTAGTTGTTCCACTTATGTCGCGAGTAAGAGCACGTGTTAAAAATCGATCGGTGTGTTTGTTATGATTTTTTTATGAGCACTTTGGAAAGAGACATATGACAGCTGGTCGGTAGCGGTGACGTATAGAATATTCTACGACGATATAGGCTCAAAATAACATTGTCACAGAACGGAATGTTCAATATTAATTAATTTGTTTGAAAATCATTCTGCCAAATCATTACGGTGGCAACTGCACTCCGATTGGGCAGCCCGAATTCGAAACAACATTTTTCTTTAACTTGAGCTCTGCGATAATGGACGAAAATTGAAAAATTATGTGTTCAACATTGAATTACCGATGAAATATGATTTCCTTTATAATTAGATGTTTTGCTGTATTTCCCACACCACCGAATGGAACAGCCTCCCATTGTTAGACATATTATCTTTATTACAATAAATACAGAATATTTTTGGAATATACGCAGACGCTGTACTATTTCAACTTCCTAATTTGTGATTTCAGCGCAAACGAGAGTTGATATTTAAAAGTGATATAAAGCCCATTTGCCTAATGAATTGCCGGGGATGGATGGCGCTTATTTCGTCTCTATTTCTGATTATATACTTCGATTGTTACCAAAGAACAATGGCAAAATCATAGTCAAAAGAATTCTTTAGCGTCTTCAAATGTCTTAATTACAAATTTGAATAAAATAAAGTTATTAGGTTTTTCAAATTATAATAGCGGCCTATCTAAGTTTGGAAATAAAGTCATATTTAAGAGGGAGCAGAGGAAAAATTCCTAATCTTCGATTTGATTTTAGAGGGGTATATCCACTTTAAAGTTACAAATAAAATATTGTATGAGTAACTAGACGATATATTCAAGCATAGACATTAATCAGAAACATAAAACAACAAAGTTTCCTCGATAGATAAAAATCACGAAATGACCTCTAATTTTCACATTTTTTCGATTTGTCCTCGAAATGCTACAGGTTATTAGGACAAAAATTAGATAATTAATTATATTTATGCATGATCGAGAACTATCACTACGGATTTTGTTTAATCCCTTTAGTTTTAAAGTTATTCCGCTAAAACGAATTTGGTACTTTTAATGCGCAAAATTCAACGTCTCCTGTCGCATGTCACGCGAACTTCAGGCATATATTTGTTTCACAAATTTGGGCGGAGCCAACGTCAAAACTTTTTTGGCATGAGAGCTCTTAAGAGAAACTCTAATAACTAATAAGTATATAACCGGGCTGATATCTACAATTGTCAGTTTCTTACTTTCTTAATGTTGAACGACATCTAGCCGCCAAAAAAGAATTTCAATACCTACGTATGGATACGGTCTAAATTAAGCATCGAGTATATAACCAGAATTAGAGACGAAATGTCACTTAATTTTTGTTTGAAAACTGTTCTGCCATATGACAACCGCGCTCCGATTGGCCAGCCCGAATTCGAAACAATTGACAGGTGTCGTCAATTGTTTCACTTCAAATTGACCAGTTAACTAGAGCTTTGCTATAATGGACGACAATTGCAAAATTACATATTTAATATTTAATTACCGATAAAATATGATTCCGTTTGTTTTGTAATTAGATGTTTTGCTGTTTTCCCCACACCATCGAATAAAACAGCACGGCATTGTTAGAGATATTATCTTTATTACAATAAATACAGAATATTTTTTGGAATATACGGAGACGTACACACAGGTCAATAGTTGGCCTGTCTATATTTCAGTGCAAACGAGAGTTGATATTTATAAGAACTGTATCGCTAATGTATTACCAGGAATATATGGCCCGTATTCGTCTCTATTTCTGGTTATAATAATATAATCGATGAAATTAAGTTGGTTCACGTAATATCAAATGAGTTTCTTCAACCAATTTGTAATAAGAATATAACTACTTTATTGCAAAATTTAAAATAGATAAATCCTTCTCCAAAATGCCACCCGAGGAAATGATAAAAGTGACAAGTTCCGAAATCAGGGATGGATGGCACATTTCACAAAAAACTAATTTATGTCCGAGTTGCCAGTGCAATAGTCTGTGGTATGTATTAATTAACTCAGTTTTTTTGTTATGGCTTAAACTTCAGTGTAAAAAATAATTTCCTCTGAACTTTATCCACGTCACAAACCCACGGCACCATTCAGTATTAAGTCTGTTTAAGGTTTCTGTAGTTTATTTTGATATAATACGGCACGGAATATATTTTTATTCAATTACGTAACACATAACCTCCAAAACTTCAAACTGGAATATCTTTAATTCCAGATTTCTCTCAATAGTGAGCCGAAAACAAAGTTTATTAAGGAATTTTAACTCTATATTTTCACATATTTTTCATAGAATAGAAATAGAAAGAAATATAAACTAGATACGAGACTGTAGCTGCGCGAATGCATTCCGATAACGCGTCACCTATTTTTTGGCTCGTATTTAGTTTGTACGTAAATTGAGTCATAGTGTCTGATTCTATAAGCAACTCCATATACGTGAGTCATCACCATTAATTCATTTATACGTCCCTTTGCCGAGGATGGGTCTCCTCTCAGGCGATGGTTTAGGAAATAAAAGGTTTATTAAACTACCCGATTTTAGGGAACCCTAAAACAAATTTAGGGAAGAGTAATGTTAATGAATTAGGGTCCCTGAATAGGGTGACAAAAAATTATCGAGACTGGAAATTTTCGATACCGACATTCCCTACTAAGGACATAGTCGACAAACTAGTAAAATATGGTTGCAGGTATTTTAACACAGTCTCTTCAAATGTTATCACCTTGTTTTTCACAGTGCCTCCACTCAAAACGGCGACTCGTCTGTTTCTCCCACCTTGAAGGATCAATGTATTGCAACTTGGCAACTTCAGAACGTCATTGTATCATTTACATTCATGAAAATAAAAATATGTAGTGTCGCGTGTATTGTCTGTTACCTACAGTCTACATTTTCGAGGAAAAAAGAAGTTGGGAAATGAGAACTCACCTATGGAGGGTCTGATGATGCAGACAGGCAGTTCGCTGTGACTATATACGATAGATTCTGCCAGCGATTTTGTCAGGGTGTACGGATTGGGATGGTCACCCTAGAAGGAAGCAAACTTAAATTTCAGAAAGTGTTCAATGTTAACTAGCAAAACGCCAATCAAACATGTTAGTCAGATACTTGTTCTGAATCCAGGAGCCTATACACACGGCGTATTTTATACGCGCCGCTGTAGTCGCGCGTATGTATCGCACGTGTTGATAAAATATAGTTTTAATTTTAGTTGTACGATCATTGACTTACAAATAAATGGACGACGGGTCTAATACAAAAACCACGAAAAAATGTCCCAAGTCAACCTATTTAAACGTAGTGACATGTAAAGGAATATGAAAAAGCTAAAATGTTGAATTTAAATTGTAATGTCATCGCAGTACTGTCTAATTTTGCTTGCTTCGCTGTCAGTCGAACAAACGAAGACTAAAGCGTGAATGACGCTATGTATACGATTTTAACGCCCTATAAGTTCGGACACTTTTTAGCGCGGACCCGACGTCCATATAATTGTAAGTCAATGTGTACGATGAACGATTTTGTGCCATTTGCAGTGGAGACTGCGGGGACTTGGGGTGCGGAGGCTTCATCAGGGAGTTGGGTCATCGGCTTAGAGACAGAGGCTATGATCCACGCTCTGAATCTTACTTGATTCAACAAATTCCGTTGTCCATTCAGCGCGGTAATGCTGCCAGTGTTATGGGGACATTTGAACCAGCTAAGATTCAAAGCGGTCCTCTTTCGTTATACTAGTTGGATAAAAATTGCTAGTCTGGTGAATTGCATTATTAATTTTTATGTGCTGTTGCTGATTTATATTTGTGTCTTTCTGACGGAATGACGTAAACATGTAAATGATTTAGTTTTCAAAAGAATTGAATTGTGTCATTGACTTACAATTATATGGACGTCGGGTCCGCGCTAAAAAGTGTCCGAACTTATAGGGCGTTAAAATCGTATACAGAGCGTCATTCACGCTTTAGTCTTCGTTTGTTTGACTGACAGCGAAGCAAGCAAAATTAGACAGTACTGCGATGACATTACAATTTAAATTCAACGTTTTAGCTTTTTTATATTCCTTTACATGTCACTACGTTTAAATAGGTTGACTTGGGACATTTTTTTCGTGGTTTTTGTATTAGACCCGTCGTCCATTTATTTGTAAGTAAATGAATTGTGTTTAGTTTTTTAATGAATAAAAGCGAGTATTTTCGTTTTTTTTGTCAATTTCAGTTAGTTTTTTTTTCAGTAAAGCAGCTACATGAAATTCTAAATGTAAACTCCAGTAAAATACGCTGTGTGCATAGGTTCTTAGGAATTCCCTGTATTATAAGTGCCAGAAGGGGAACATCAAAATAAATTATAATAAAAAACATAAATTGTTCCGACCGGTATACCCTTACTGTACTTACCCTTAAGTATTTATACAACGGGGTCACGGAAGTGGTCAAAGAGTTATAAACTTTCCTGTCATAAAATTTGATTAGGAATCTTTGTATAGCAAAGCATTCAACTGGTATACCTGCAGTGTCTCAGCTATGACAGTCATGGTCTCCTGGGGCAGCATCTTGGCGCAACGGATAAGCCCGTCAGGGTCGTAGGGTGGAGGGTACACACGCTCCTCAATGTGCGCGCGGGGAGCATTGCTGTAAGCTGTTGACACGTACACCAGGGCCTGGCGACATATATAAAATATTCAACGCCTGGAGACCGCAGCTCTTGCGTCGACGCTGTCACAGTCATCAGTCTGTCTAAGGTGTTCAACATTTCGCACATAGCAAATTACAAAAATTACCTATCTGCATAGGGGCGCGTTTATTCCACACAAATTTCATCCATTCACGCCGACGCGCAGCGACCGCGTGCATCTAACTGTCATGGCATAGTACGCTCTATTCTTTTAGTTTTTACACTTAAACTAGGCTGGCTTGTTTTTCGTTTATACGGCGACCGCGCGGTTGTAATATCCCAAGGACTTGAAATGTATGCCTAATAAATAGAACTAAGATTCGCCGTTAATGTACATGAAAGTGTGGTAATTGGCGGTCGTCCCGCGGCGGCCGCGCCGAAAACTTTCGCGTCGTGTAACTGGGCGCTTAGGGTGCATACAGATCTGGCGAATGTGCCGCAAATGCGCCTGTTTGCAAAATATATTAACATGTTTTTAACTGCATGTATGCGGCACGCGTGCAGCGCACATGCGGCGCGTGCGTTCGACAGATCTGTATGCGCCCTTAGATGCAATAGAGGCGCCAAATTTATCGCCAATCGACTTGTAACAATCCTTTCTGCCTGCTACACTACGACTGTAGTAGAATCACGTAGTTTAGCAGTAGTAGAGGTCCTTGTGAAAGTGTTCGTCCATCATACCTATTTCTGGCATCAAGCAGTAGAAGGGTGCTAGTAAACTACAGGCACATGGGACTTGTCAACTTATGGCTCAGGGTGAAGGACGCAGTGGCAGTGCATCTCAGATCTTTTGCGCTTTATAATAATAATATAATTATTTATTTATTTTCGGACAACGTAAATCCTTATTAAATTAATAATACACGTATAAACTACATATGTTAGTAAATTATTTTAAACAAAGATCGCATAAAATCCCTCCTCTGTCTCAGCAATTATTTTCAGGATGCTGTTGCTACTGTTGCAACGTCTGTTTAAAAGGGAAGCGAAAGGAGTCTGTCTGCGCTTGCGCAAACATTGCTGGTGCACTACAAAACTTCGGCAGCCGCAACTGCATCCTAAAAGTATTGCTGTATTGGTGCGGAGAGCAATGTACGACTTTTGTGGTGGTGTTTTCCTAACCTTCAGGAGTGGCATATCTGCAGCCAGCTCGAGCAGCGTCGCCGTGCCTTGTACGTTGAGTGCCGCAGCGGTATGCAGCGGCTCCGTGAAACGCACTGTGGCAGCGGAATGAAATAACACGGTGACGTCAGCTAGTTGCTGGCGCTGCTCAGGACTGACGCCCAACGCCGGAGCCGACACATCACCAGCGATCGGTGTCAACTTGCTCAAACGTTCGGGCCAACGCGCGCGAATACGATCGAACACCTGGACAATGTAAGAGTTTAGCTTTGCATGCTTTATGTTAGAGAAAGGACAGAAAGCGTTTCTTAGATATTTATACAAACGTGCCAATGGGTGCTATCTCTACATGTATCCTACTGCGTTTCTACTGGGTTGCCTAGGATATAACTCGCTGGAGGTTAGACGAATGAAACACCACGCGGTAATATAGATTCCCCAGATTTGCATAATGAGCTGTGTTGGCTCTTTGCCCCCGTCAACTACCACCAACACCAGTTGATGGCCACCGCGTGGTGCCGAACCGTAGCGCGCGCTAAATCACCCATACAGCTCAACTCTCTCCTCGTCACCAACCCAGAATGCGACTTGTTTGCGGATGGATGGTCACTGTTATTGTTAAGATGCCTACGCTATTGTGAAGGCGATGCTTGAATGGTACTTAATCTTGTTGTGTTTATTAAGTTGTTATGTTAGTAAAGTATCTTTAATTATTGTAATTGGTGTGTCCGTTATAATTAAAGTAAATAAATAAATTATTAAAATAAAAAAAATGCTTGTGAAATATTTATTTAACAAATAGCTTGAGGTGAGGTGGAATATTCCGTGTTCAGGGTTTGCCTTGTCAACTGAGGTTAGACGACCATAAAATCTAAATATAATAAGGATTTGACAATAGGAGAAAAATGTGTTGTGTATTGCTTCTTCAGTCGAACAGAAGCTATTAAAAATAATGTACCTAATAGAAACCACCCTTTGTAGGAACTAAAAGAAAAAGCAGAAAAAGGGAAGAAGAAAAAATTTACGGGAGAAATTAAAACTTTGGTCAAACGATGAAATGGTCGTCAAGTCCAAAAAGTGACAAATCTGCGAACTGTTTGAAAATACACGTACCTGATGCTTGAGTAATTCCTTGTACCTCTGCTCGACCGTGAGTCCTCGCTTGGGTCTCATAAGAACATAAATGGTCTCGATCCCGGGACAACTTCTCAGCAACTTCTCCAGGAGGGCTTTTCCCACGAAGCCTGTCCCTCCGGTCACCATAACCACAGATCCTGGGAAGAAAAAGTTTCTTTAGAAAGTCATTCAAAGTCAGTGGAGACCCACTAAAGTCGGGTAAGTTTTTTTTCAGAAGTCTTGAAATTTACCGATCAAAAATCGGATCAAAGTTTGGCTTACACTTTCACTAAATGATTACAGCTTTTGATATAATTTATATTGCTATCTTCAGTGCATGAAATGCAGCGCTTTGTACATACAACCGCAGTAATACAAGCAAAAACGAGTTTTTCAGAAAATATTAGAAACCTTTTAGGAAAAGTTTGCTAATTTTAATGTATGTTAAATATAATAGTACATTGTGTATTATAAAAAGCGGTAAATAAGAAATTACGAACGAATATTAGAAGCCCGAAGACGAAGACAGAGGGCTTTCTGACTCGACGTTCGTAATTCCCGTACCGTCCGTGAGACATATAATGTTTTTTATCACCGTTGCACGTAAACAGCATGATTGCATGTAGGCTAACTTGACTATAATACCTCGGGCCTTTTTTTGTCATTACAGCTATGGTATAAAAAGTTAAAAAAATTGTAACCTTGATAAAAGTCACTGACGGATTCCATATTGACATCGTTCAAGTTCGGCATCGTGGGGTCGTTCCCGTTCTGGCGATCCATAGTTTTCCTGAGAAGAAACAGAAAGTACAATTCTTTATTACTCCGGTTTTGAAGGTGCTGGTGCAATTACAGGCACATGGGACTTAAAAAAAAATAAAAATAAAAACTTTATTGCCAAAAGATACAAATCTAGTACATAGTTGTGCCTAGCTCCCAAACTAGGATCTCCTGTACTATGGGTAGCTAGGTCTTTCGTCCGAATCATTACTGCCTTAAATAATTTAGAATTATGAAGCGAATTTACAAAAATATGATCATTGACTTACAAATAAATGAACGACGGGTCTAATACAAAAACCACGAAAAAATGTCCCAAGTCAACCTATTTGAACGTAGTGACGTGTAAAGGAATATGAAAAAGCTAAAACGTTGAATTTAAATTGTAATGTCATCGCAGTACTGTCTAATTTTGCTTGCTTCGCTGTCAGTCGAACAAACGAAGACTAAAGCGTGAATGACGCTCTGTATACGATTTTAACGCCCTATAAGTTCGGACACTTTTTAGCGCGGACCCGACGTCCATATAATTGTAAGTCAATGGGGTAAATCAAATATGTAACTTAATTATCAAGATTTTTACACAGCCAAAAATATCAAAATACTTTAAAATAAACAACAAAGCAACCAAAACCATATCATGAACAATAAACTTGTCAACTTATGTCTCAGGGTGACGGGTGCAAGGGCAGTGATCAGATCTTTGCGATTTAAAATCGCTTCCAACACAACTTGTTCGTCAAGACAGAATAATGAGAAAAACTAAATTAGTTCTGTGTTAATTATGCATATTATTAAGACTGCGTTGCCACTTCGTTTGTACAGTGCGTTAGTAACGTTTACTCATTGGTTTTGAATCTACATACGAAAAACAGCCTGATGCGCAGAATTAGTGGCAGTGTACAGCCTCCTGAGCATGCATTCTGATTCCAAAGTTCTTTTTGTAAGCACTGGATCCAAATCGATGCGTTACTTTCTTAAACACGTATCTTATAAAGAGTGATTATTCAGGATACGGGAAAACTTTCTATTTATTTTAAATTTCTTATCAAGGCTGTTTTGAATGCATTACTTTAAGAGTAGATTTTTATCTTTTCTCAGATAAAAAGTAGATTTTTATCTTTTCTCTCATATTCACACACCGGCTTTTGCCGGTGTGTGAATATGAGAGAAACGTGATGTGAAATTAGCCTGCAAAATTTGTATATACAATCAATTTTTTTGCATTCCACTAACCTTGCGTTTTAAGATACGAGTTTGAGAAAGTTTTGCGACGGAATACATATTAAACTCTATAAAGAAAAAGTTATTTGGAACACTAGTCCTATTTTTAACCGACTTCAACAAAGGAGGAGGTTCTAAATTTGACTGTTTTTTAGTCTTGTCTGTTTTTTGTGTATGTTACGCGATGATTCTGGCATGTATGAACCGATCTTCATTTTTTTTTGTTAGTGGTCCCATTAAAATTTGAAGAAAATATTCCACCACTAAAGGTGACAATTTTAATAAAACTTGGTACATAAATGTAATTCAAATGGAAATAAAATTTTATGATGACCTAGGGCCGATCTGCCCCCCTAGTATGCCGCCTCGATATAGCTATTATATCCACATTTAAGCTCTCAAATTCGAGTGATAAACCGGCATTATAAATTTTATCACATGAGCCAACATGGCAAGCACCGTGACTTTATCATTTTATTTATATTTTTATTTTATTTATATATTTATGTCAACAGAGTTCCAAACATGGCTGCAAGGTCACACTTGGTTTTAAAACATTTTTACACAGTAACTTTATCAACATAAAAATTGAGCGCGACAAACGAGATTATAAGATAAAAACCTTAGAATAATAACGCATAGAAACCTAGTCCGCACACGCTAAGTGAGGCAAATTGAAGGGCGCCAAAAGGGCCTACACGAGCGGGCGGGCCTTCAGTGCTCAAAGTCAACTTGCACCGCGAACAGGTCAAGAATTTTAGATAGTAACATCACATTCCACAAGGAAGTAACGCGTTTCAACTTGTATTTTTATACAAATATTCACTAAAACCGAAAATTAACCTACTACTAAAACTAGCCTACATGAATTTGATTTTTGCCTCACTTGTGACAGTTCTTTGCTATGAAACTATCATTCTATGCGTTATTTTTCTAAGATAAAAACAAACAATATGACATTATTGGTGATAAAAAGGTGAGAAGAACATTTTTAATACAGTTGAATACATTAGAGTAATTAGGTGTAAAAACAGAAACTACAAAAACCCTACATTTTTTGTTTCATCGTTTTCACGGCGATGATTAAACGACAAAGATGTATAACAATAGCTCATTACCAAATAAGCAAACTTAGCTTTATCACACTGAAATAAATTTTGTCACGGGAAGATTTATCACACTTATAAACTGGAGTTGCCACAGCGAGAGGTTAGTCAGCGATTTTTTGTTTAATTCTTAGGAAATTTTTTTTTCTTTTTTTTCTTGAATTTGTGATTGCAAAATTCCCATAATTTCTTGGATCTCTGTTTTCTCTCTAGAGTGCTTACATGTTTATGTTATATTATATCTAAAAGTGTAAACTAAATTGAGCTACTACACTGTTTATGCTAGTTATATTTGTACATAGGTAATAGTTTACCATGAGTAAATAAAATAAAATAAAATAGTAAAAATATATGCCATGCTACGGACACTGATGATGGAAACGGCAGAAAGATGAGGTGGCAGAGAGGTGAGGATAGTATAGTGTACACAGCTACCTTGTGTTTGGGGTCATATTATTATACTCTATTTGGACTCGGTGGAGCGAAAAGAAAAGAGACTTATTAACAACAACTCTCTTAATAATAATAAAAAATCATTTATTGTCTCGTAACATTTTCTTCCTTAAAAACTAATTAATCAAATACAACAAAATAAATAAATTTGAGACAAAAGGAAGAGGCTCAGCTTATGCTGGCACGGCGATAAGACCGCGCAGCGCTGTTTTTCAGCCTCTCCCTAATCCCTATGGTCTTGAGCGGGATACATGTCAACGAGGGCATATAGCATAATATATTAAAGACATACATAACACAAAGAAACAATAACAATATTGATATCACATTGATGGACATTATGTGGAGGAAAAAAAAAAACAATAAAATAATAATAATTATAATGATGAAACTAAAAAAAAATGGTAAAGAAATATTAACATAAACAGTTCATGGAAATCCTGGGTGTATGTGTGTGTGTGTGTGTGTGTGTGTGTGTGTGTGTGTGTGTGTGTGTGTGTGTGTGTGTGTGCATGAGTGATCGTTATTGTGGTATATTTTTATGATTTTACAATATGCATGTTTCAGGTTTTCTGCAGCGAGTTGTCTGCGCAATAAGGCCGATTTGTATTTTATTCTAAAGCTATTGATGCTCATTTTATTCCTTAGCGGTGGAGGTAAGTCATTCCAGATACCCGCTGCACAATACCTGAAACAGCCCCTATATCGTGTTGTTTTATGTTTACGTATAGCCAGCAAGTTCAAAGTGACAGATCGGAGACTCCTATGCGTAATATTTTTTATCCACGTGAGTTTTTCAAATAGGTATTCCGGGGTTTTACTCCATACCAGCTTATGAATGCAACAGGCAAATTGCAGCTCTCGCCTAGCACTCATATTTAGTATGCATTTTTTTATTAATGTAGGGTGTTATGTGGAGTCGAAGCTACAAAATCTCGACCATCGCAGAGAAGTAGCCTGCTTGTCGGTTTTCCATCGGATACATTTCGTGGAGTGTGCTCAGGAATGTTTAAATTTGATTCCACCCTCACCGTTCCTCCTTGGGTTGACTAGAAGGTCTGGTACACTCCACCCTTATTTCGTTGATATTCCACCTATTCACACTAAGCGCTTTGCTTCCTCCCTTCTGATGTATACCGCAAAGGAATGGAATACTCTATATAATCTGTATTTCCCGAAAAGTACAATTTGGGGCTATTCAAGGCTAGAGTGAATTGGCATTTTTTTGTTACTGATGTTACTCGATTGCGTTAGTTAAATTAATAATAATTAATAATTAAAAATAAAATTTAAATTTACGTTATTATCAACCGGTGCAATGCGTACAGCGTCAGGTCTGCTTTCACCCTTGCCACACATGTGTTATATAAGCACAAAGGTCGAAACCTACTCGACCTCCTATAGGTAGCAATTACCATGTAGTACAATAGGCATAAAGTCGGGATTAGTGCTTATCCGCGTACCTAGCGTTGCTACAAGGCCCGTACCTGTACTAAACCAAATTTAGTAGGAGAGCACTTATAAATAGAGTAAGTACTACAAATAACAATTTCTAAAACTAATATACAATGTGGACCAGTGCTCATCAAAAGAACCCTGGACC